GGAGAATAGTTTTTGTTTGTGAAACAAATGCCACATACTTTTTAAGATTGTTAGGCATCCCTTTTTAATTATTAAATGCAAAGCTTTTTTTGTAAAAAAAAAAAAAAGTGCCGGAACTCACACACAACTCTGGCTCCAGTTGAAAGCCCTTTATGGAGCCGGGGGGGGGGGGGGGTAGAAGAAACCGCTTTAGCAAGCTTCTGAGGTGCAGATCACTCACCTGGAAAAGGTCTGTCTCCTCTGTGCCACAGTTCCTGCTGCCGCTGCGATCTGAGGCCAGGGGACGCGTCCATAGCCCCCCGCGGCCCGATCCGTAGGCCTGGAAAAGACTCTGACGCCCGGATCTATGGCCATGGAATGATTTTGTGGCCCCCTTGCCGCCTGCTCTGCGGCCATGGTTCCGGGCTCCGGAGGCTTAGAAAAGGCCTCCAGAGCCTGGATCGGCCATGGGGGGGGGGCACAAAATCACTCTTGCAGTCATAGATCCAGGCGGCAGAGGCCTTTTCCAGGCCTCTGGAGCCAAATCAGGCTGCTGGGTGTCTGCAAAATCGCTCTGCAGGCCATACCTGCTGGCAGCTTAGAAGGAACCATTTATTCCGTTCAAAAAAAGGTGCCGGAACGCCGTTCTGTGCATTCTATGACAAAAAAAGCCTTGAAAAGTAATTAAACACAAAAGAGAAAGTGGCCTTCTTCCCAACTTACGCAAAAATACTATTTCACTCATAGTCTCTGGGTTACTGGCCATGGCAGCTTTTCATCTGATAAAGCGAAGTCCAGCTAAACAAAAGGTGTATATGTTCCTGAGAATCTACCGCGCTCTCTTTCCTTCTATTCCCCATATTGGGGAAAACATTCAAGTAAGAAGGGCTTCCTTTGGGTGTCCTATGGGGAAAATTTTGAAACATCTTCTGTAATGGAACAGGCCTGCTTTTGTGGCTTGAGAATGGGTGGATATCCCAACGGTGCTTTTCCAAACGGCAACTGGATTTTCTTTGAAAATGTTTTGTTTCTCATCCAAGCTTTTTCAGTTCTTCTGAAGAAAAAAAATCATAGTAGTAGTGCAGGATTACAAGATATGGAGACTTGGCCCACAGATTCACCAAGTCAGATGTGACTGAATGGGTAACATCATGATGGGTAACATCATCATCTTGAACATTTCATGAACATCATGAAATTTTTAGGGGGTACAGGGAAGGTCAGGGGGGGCATGGGGGATGCCTCTCTGAGGCCAAGGCCAGGCCTGTCTGAGGGACGCGGCATTAGAACGGTGAGGGAGGTGGTTGGGGGGTTAAGGGAGGGTGGTGTGATCAGTACGGTCAGTGGGAGGGGCAGATATGGCGGGAGCAGAGGACCATATCGGGTTTG